CTATGAGTCTTAAAGAAATGTAGTTGTGTAAAAAGTACAATATTTGACTCCAAAATGCAGTGGAACAGAAGTATATATAGTAAAAATGATAATACAAGTACAAGTAGGGATGTCCCGATCACCTTTTTTTGCTCCCGATCCGATTCCGATCATTTGATTTTGACAATTTGCCGATACCGATTTTTCCCGATCCGGTCTTTATGCAATGCATTAAGAGTAAAAAAAAAAGCATTCAAGTTGTCCCTTAAGGTTATTTTTTTAATTTAAATTGGATATTCTATCCAACATGGATATAGTTTCTTTCTTTCACAGCAGCATTGGATCAGTTCAGTTGTGCAGCATTGGATCAAAACAAAATCAAGCTTTCAGTACTCGTTAGCTTACTGCTACAATTAGACACTGCGCCCTGCCCACTCTGTTGCCAGATTTGAGAGAAATAAGCAACCAGGTCTATGAAAACAAGCCCCAAAGAAGCAACACATACATGATGTTGTGTCATTTGAAACCAAAACTAAGGCCTCAGGATGACTTTAAGACTTGAACATGGTCATTTTTTTTTATAACATTGAATACAAAAAAAGAAAAGAAAAGTATTTATTAAAAAAAAAAAAAAAAAATCCCGATCCCCGACTTTTTTCTCCCGATTCCGATCTTTTGAAAATCACGTGATCGGCTCCGATCCCCGATCACGTGATCGGATCGGGACATCTCTACTCCTTGCTTTAATGTTCAAAAAGCTCTTTATTTTTCTCATACTGCCTGTGCTGCAGTACCTCTTTTCACCCTCTGTCTGAAACCAGATCCCAGTCTGCTCTGATTGGTCAACTGCTTAGAGATGTCCCGCCCCTTACCCTATCACATACATAGATGCTCATTCATCTTCGTGGCTTTTCAGCAGTTTCTACACGCAAACATGGCAACAGCGTTTGGTCTGTGTCCTGTAAATACTGTAAATGACTGAAGTTAGCTAATGCTATGTACTGTATATACAACATTAACGCTCATTAATCACGCTCGGTGGTAGTGACGGGAACAAAGTGGGCGCTAATGGCAGTGGGAAGCGGTAATGCTGCAGCAGGCAGATGTCAGTGCTTGGCACATGTGAAGTGTTTTGTTGGAATCTTGCGTGAATAAATGCTGATGCAGAGGAGCTGTGACGCAGATTTGAAGATGAACGCTCTTATAATGAAACTGATGAGCTTCATTAGCAAACACACGGCACATTATGCTGTTAAAAAGAACAGAAGCAGTTGTTTTTATTGAGATGTGATGGTTATGACCTCTTTTAATTAGTGAAAATAATGAAGACGTGCTGTTTGTACTGAGTAGCCTCTGTGTCTAACCAGCTGATTTGCTGCTGGTTCCGCTCTCTGCTTTACACCTAATTAATTTTTCAAAGCTCATTAGGCTGAAGCTGACATGAGGACGCTTGTATTTGTTGATGTTGTGTAATTAAAAGGCTACAAAGCTACCGGAGGCACATCATTAGGACTAATTGTATTGACACTTCAGCAGAAAAACATGTCATGTATAACTTGTTTTTCCTTGTGCTTGTCTTACATTTATTTACTCACCTTTTTGTGTTTTTTTGCCAACAGAGCAATCTACTTTGCTGCTTACTCCACGGCCAAAGAGAAACTGAACGGTGTGTTTGAACCCGACTCCACGCAGGTACACATGGTGTCGGCTGGAATGGCAGGTAACTACAACGGGTGGACGTTTACCACAATGCTTTTCGACATACTGTCAGGGTGGGAACATTTCCAGCATGCTCGTCAAATGCTCACCATTCTTGTTAGGGATGCTGCTTTCTAAGAAACACAAACCCCAGCATGTGCCTTAGAGTTTCCACTAGAAAAAAATAGGTGCTGGTCAACTTTATGGGAATATTTCAATGTCCCGGAGATATTCTGTTGAAATAGCACCGTAGGTTATTATTGGGCTTGAAAATATTTGATAGGGAGGCTTAATCACAAATCACATCAAGGCCCTTTTTTTGTTGTTTTGTTTTTAAAGTAGGTTATTTAATAAAAAAAAATCAAACAAGTCCACTCAATAGACTCCTGAGGCCTGCGCTATGAATCCAGTTCAACATACCCTGGATATGTTTGGGGGCGGGGTTAGCAACATTTGACCAATCACAAACATGGAGAAGCGTACTGACAGCGCAGCGTCATACTTCTTGAATGAAAAGTGAACTATAATATTAGACATATGAAGAAGTTAAACTTTAAACATCCATGACTTAAACACTTTATCCAGGATAAAAGCCACATAGCTGCACCTGCAAGGTGAATACAGCTGGTAAAAGAAAAAGTGTTTGAATGCGTACATTAACAGGTTTATGATATCACTGCCCCGTCTAAGACACCATCTGACTTTACTTACATTTGACTCGAGTGTATCGTCAACTTAATGTGTTGCTTAAAATAATACTTCTGCATACAGTCTGTGACACTGTGAGTGTTGCACGGCCAGATACGGCTCAGCTGACTCAGATAAGGAAATATATGATACATTATGATGTGATATGCTGCGGACTGTACTTAATGTTACACTGATCCGGTTACTTATGTTGTGGCAGATATTTAAGTAAGCTTTCTTAAAGCTAATGTTATAATAGTCAGATTGCTCTGAAGATGGGAGGTGATATTCCATTAATTTTCACGTTCACACAGTCGGTGATTTTTGCCGGCCGTCTTTCCTGCAACGGCAGCTTTTCTGTATTTCCTTTCTCCTGTAATATGACTTGATTGCTTTAAACTCCGCACACTGAGCTCTGATTGGTCAGCAGGCGGTGCTTTCACTGAGTTGATCTCTTATCATGGAACCTAACCTGCTCCGGACCAGGCTAGCCATTCAGCATAGGTTACCATGGAGATCTAGCCCGCTAAGAAGTGAACCAGCGTCGTAGGACCGGAAACCCAGAGTTTTCCCTGAAGTTAGATCGCTAAGGGAAAGTTTTAGCACACTATCACTCAGACTTTAAAAAACAGTCAAAGTCAGCTTTGTCTGTAAATATCTCTCCAGCAGTGAATGCACATATTCTGCAGACTAAATAAAGTAACAGGTGAGGAGGATTCGATGGAGCAGTGATTTATCTCCTCTGTGCAGCGACAGGTGAAAGCCACAGCAGCTGTTAGAGCAACGTGTTTCTGTTTACTAAATACTTAACTTATAAAATCCTCCATCATAGGTTCATGTACACAATCATTATCACCAACATGTTATTTTACATCACATTTACCTGACGCAGCTTACAGGTGCAACCAACCATGAAGAAAAAGATTAGCAAAAATAATCAAAGCTTCAAATAAGCCAAACCATTTAAAGTGCTTCATACATTTTTATTTGAGTATTTGAATTGCCTAGTACAGGTGAGTTTTCAATTTCCAGCAGAAGATATCTAGACATCTGGTAAAGTAAAGTTTGATAAACAGAGTACTCTTTCTGCAGAAAACGGTCCCTTTGATAAATTACAATATAACATGACATGGAGCTTTTTACGGGAGGTCAAATGGTTTTGAAATCCCTGGTCTTGATTTTTATAAGCATATCATGTGGATTTATGCCTCTTTTGATATCTGTTTCGTCTCTCACACACATTTCTGTCCTCTACTCTCCTACCATAAAGTTCATTGGATAAGAAGCTGTTTTTTTACAGCTGTTTTCTTGACATTGAATTTGATGACATGCAGTAGCTCCTCTTCAGATCACACAGAGGATATTCTATAGAAGATCAAGCTTTCTCACGTGAAGCTGCTTTTTGTTAAAATAATCATTGTTCATTGTTTTAACTGCCATGAATACAGCATATTATCTTTCTGTGTTCGTTGTCAGACAGCTGATAATAACACACCATGGAACATTTTGAACACATTTGTCTTTTTCCCTGCAGGTTTTACAGCCATCACAGCCACCAACCCCATATGGCTGATAAAGACTCGTCTGCAGCTGGATGCGAGGTAAACATGACGCCTGGGTGTGAGCGTTACAAAATTTACTTCACATGAGGGACCGACAATGTCACAAAGCCCGAGGTGTTATCATGCCACACAGGAACACCTTTGGCGCTTTCACACCGGAGTACTTTTCCCAGGAATTGTTCTGATAGTTCCTGGGATTTTGCGTTCACACCAAAAAGATCTGGAACTAGAACTTTTTTTGCGAACCTTTTCACCCCTTTTCAGTCCCTGCTAGAGAGGTGGTACTTTCCTGGGGAGAAAAAGGTTCCAATTTCTGATTGGCTGGGCGAATTGCAAACCACGCCCCTTAAAACTCTGAAAGGTTTTTGTGAAGCCGCCATTTTATTTTCTCTACTGGGAGTCCCAGCAGCTTCTACTGAAGCCAGTCCCCAACTCCGGGGACTTCCGGCCGGGGACTTCAGGTGGCAGTATACGCCGTGAATTTGTTTGCGGCTTGCCAGTAAACCCAAAGCAGAAGAAGAAGTGACGTCAGCGGCTTGATTTGCGTAATCTTCCCTCAGGGAACTTATTCCGGTGTGAACGCGATCTGTACTTAGTGCCATGGGGGTACTAAGTGCCGGCACTAAGTACAGCAAAGTACTTGGTGTGAAAGCGGCTCATGATACAGATGTTAGTGCAAAATCTACAGCTCCTCTACCACAACCATCAGAGACAAGTGGACATGGAGAACTACATGAACTACATGTTGCTAAATCCACCGCGGAGAATAACCGGAAGGGCAACCAGGCAACCATAGCAACCATGCTCGGGAGGTCTTCTTCGCTGCTTTCGGTGTATTTTGTGTCGGAAGTACAGCTCCACTTACAGGCCCGGCATATTTACTACAGCGTCTCCAGTGGGTCGAGACGAGCGGTCTCGTGTGGACGGAGAGGTTTATTGAGCCGATTCTGTGTGGACAGAAGACTTTTTTGATATCGACACCGGTTCGTTTTCGCCTCCATGTGGACGGGGCCTGAGTAGCGTTGTAAAGACACTCCTTGGTTGTATTACATGAAACCGCTTTATATGTAAAATACAGCTCTCAAAACACTTGATGTAGAACTTCTTCTCCTCCTTCATCTCCCTTTTCCCAACGGTGTGTTCAATGCTTTGCAGCCTTGAAGTTAATTCCTTCAAATCCCAAAGGATACCACACAGTCTGCTTTATCAGTTCTTTGTTTTCTGTTTACTTGAAGACATGCATGTGACTCGTGTCTTCTGATCAATGAATTGATTTCAGATTATACCTTGTGTAAGGCATGCTGCTGTTATGTGTCTTTGGTTTTTTCCCCTTCTCCTACAACAGCGCAGCTATTTATGCACCGTGTGCAGAAACCAGAGCTCCTGCTGGGTTTTAATGTAACTCACTAGGCTCTCTTTACATTAAGATTCATGGCTTTACATCCATGTGCACCCTTCATTAATGTGCTGACTAATACTCCACTATTGTTACAATTTGGAGCACTATGCTGTTCCTTGATCAAAGGACTTTGTGTAGTCATATCACTCCACAGAAAGAATTGTATTTTCTGTGGCAAAAAAACCACAACATTCGATTTCTGTTACACCCATCATAAAAACATCCTGGTATACTTTTTGATTATTCAGATATATAGTTGTGAAGAACATTAAAACAAAGGAAACGGTAAACAAAACAAGATAAGGAAATAGGTGAAAAGACAGAGAGTTGGACGACAGAGAAATCAGAGTAAGAAAAGACTGGTTAGTGGAACAGAAAACATGAGCAGATTTGAACAGTTAGAGAAAACCTCCATCAGTGCCGCCGTCATTTTAAGACGCAGTTCAACAATCTACACGGAGAAAAACTGACTATTTGTAGAGAAAATATGAGCTGAATATACATTTTCATTAGACATGTAAACAGCTTAGTGTGAATATTGTCTTTTTTAAGAATAAGAGAGAAACTGTAATATTATTAGGCATGAAAATATTAGTCTGTGTTATTGTGTTTAGTTGTTTTTCACCACATAAGTTATTTATCTTGGCTACTGTATATTCTCTCTCTCTCCCCCAGGAACCGGGGCGAGCGGAGGATGAGTGCGTTCGAGTGCATGCGGCGGGTATATCGGACGGACGGCCTGCGGGGTTTCTACAGAGGAATGTCGGCTTCCTACGCCGGCATCTCAGAGACTGTGATCCACTTTGTGATCTATGAGAACATCAAGCGGCGCCTCATGGAGGCCAAGGCCACGCAGAACATGGACGAGGAGGAGGAGACGTCCAAAGACGCGTCAGACTTCATTGGGATGATGCTCGCTGCCGCCACCTCCAAAACCTGCGCCACAACTTTAGCTTATCCTCATGGTGAGAGTTTTATAAAAGACATCAGGGAGTTAGCTCAACGTGTGAATATCTGTCCCGATTTAAAGAACACAGAAACAGGCTTCTCCAGGTATGGTGATTTATTTTAGCTGTGGACTGTAACGACAATACAGTATAATGATATGGCCAGGTAGCATGGTTACAGTGTGCTGCTATTATCGCCAAATAACAAACATTTATAATTATATTAGTATAGCAAACAATTACAAAGCAATTCCTCTACAGAATTGATGCTGCGTTCACACCGTACGCGATGCGATGTTAGGAGGCGGCGCGATTACATGTAAAGTCAATGCAGAGACGTGGACGGACGCGAATTCGCTCCGACGGCGAGCATGAAGCGGTGGACGCGAATTCCGCGGCGCGATTTGAAGGGGGCCGTGAAAAACGCTCGAGTTCAATTTTTTCAACTCGAGCGTCATACTCGAGTGACGCGATCTCGCGGTAGCCAATCAGCGGTGAGGATCTCAGCCTGCCGTCACTGACGTTCAACCAGAAATCATCAGCCGTTAGCTGTTAGCAGTTGTCTGCAGACTTGTCAAAGCATTAATTCATGGTTTTTACTAACCGGTATCAGTATGTTGTTACTTCGGCATCATTTTGAAACGTGTATTACAATTAAATCACGGTCAAATATGTTCCTTTTGTTGTAGTTGTAGCCCCCTAGCCAGCGCGTCTTGTTTGAATGACGCGAGTAAACACAGCTGACAGCCGCGGTGAAACTCGAGCGTTTAGAGCGATGCAATTTAGAACGAAGCGAATATTCGCATCGTGTCCAGTGTGAACGCAGCATAAGGAGTCGTAATCATAGACATATCAGAACTGTTTACATGTCAAACATACCCGCATTCTGCATTGAGGCTAAAAGCTATTTTCACACAGCCATAAATGGAGATTTTGCAATGCATATTTACTATATTTGGAAACCTACTTGGCAATAAACTTAATTCTGGGTCAAAACGTATAACTCCAAACGTACATCTTCTAGGAAAAGTATAAGAAATATATTTGCAAAAAGCAAACCCTTGTCTCATACCCTATCTATGGTAAGGCCCAGGTGGCCCACCAAATAACCTTCCAATAAAAGTTAGTATGAGCTAGATTTAGTAGTTCCTCTCCTTTAACCGCTCCCTTTCTTCTTCTTGCAGAAGTGATCCGCACCCGCCTACGGGAGGAGGGCACCAAGTATAACTCCTTCTTCCAGACTTTAAGAACAGTGCCCAGAGAGGAGGGGTACCGCGCGCTGTACCGCGGCCTCACCACCCACCTGGTGCGACAGATCCCCAACACGGCCATCGTCATCTCCACCTACGAGCTGGTGGTCTACCTCCTGAACGGTTAAAGCCTCCCCCCCTCCCATACCTAGTACTCATATGTAACCCTGCCCCTGATCGGAGACGAGAGCTGACTGCACCCCCGCCTGAAGAGGACAGAGATGGTGATCTTTACCACTGACACAGGGCGGGGGGGGGTCAAAATACGTTTTCTAACCAAAGGGTCTGTCTCGAGGAGGAGGATCCAGGCGGTCCTCATTGGTTCGGGGGTTTATCTAAAGAAACGGTTGTCCAATTGTTTTATTTTGATTCCATTCTGTTCTCCCTTCAGTCGTGCTTCTGGAAGACAGCTTGTTCTGCTTCTAACAATACTAATAATATAAAAAGAAGTAATTCCAATCCTTACTACCTAGCGGATTTAACACCACCCCTTCTAGCAGCAATTCAGTTCTTTTAAACATTAGTATTGTGTAGTGTTCCCCTGCGGTCATCAGAGAGTAGAAGACTGGAGACTGAGTTAAAGTACCTGACAGGTGGCTCTCAAGTTAGCGAAGGAGAAACCTGTGCCTAAGGCTTGATAAAGAGCGGGAGACGTGCCTTGTGTGAAGATTTGATAGAGTCGTACACTGGTTCTGTGATTACAGGTCGTCAGCATCTGAAATAATCTCATACTCCCGCCTCATAACGCAGGAGTCGACGTGCATTTACAGCTCTACACAAAATAGCTTCATCTTGATATTTTTTGCAATGAAAGTCCAAAAATGACGTCTCAAATTCAGCATGTTTGTGTTATCCCGGTGTAGAAGAAGAGGAACGTCTAATGTTAAATGGAGGGGCAAAAGTCCCCAAATTCAACTACTGAAATCAGACATGAGGATGAGCTTCATTAAAGCCAAGGAAGTAAAACAATCCGTGTATCTACCGTCCAATTATTTTTCTTTATTAAACACGTAAACGGAAGAGCGTCTGAGAGGCGTTTTTGCTTTTTACCTTACTAAATGGTCCTTGGAGCGAGGGGCGGGGCGAGACTCACGGAAGGATACTGTAGTGATTAAAAGTGTGATTTTAGCAAACAAGTGCTTTTGTTTTGAAATCACTTCCGTGAGTCTCGCCCCGCCCCTCGCTCCAATGACCATTTAGTAAGGTAAAAAGCAAAAACGCCTCTCAGACGCTCTTTCGTTTACGTGTTTAATAAAGAAAAACAATTGGACGGTAGATACACGGATTCAAAACACTGACTCATGTTGTGATGAAAAATAAGTTCTAACAAAATGTAATGTTGATATAAAAAGTGATTGTGTTGCATTTGGCTCCCCAGAAGTGGCACAGTGCAAAATGAGGAGAGCTGTTCTGTTGGTTGTTTCCTCCCCTCAAACAACGAGGTGTCTTCCTCTACAATCCTCATCTCATATTCCCTCACGTAGTTTTACAGGCGAGGGACAATCCTCTTCAGTTTACTCTGGAAACTTGTTGTGCTTGTGAATGGAGGAAGTGGCCAGGAAAATGCTTCATGAGCGCACACTAATTTACCGCTGACCAGTGTATAAAAAAAGAAATAAGAAGAGTTACTGTTTGTTAATTCCCCCCTTATTCCATTGTTGTTTAAAAAACATGTGAAATGCATTACTACCAATTTAAAACGTCAGTGTTGTGTTCTTTGTCATGACATGGAAAGATACTTGTTTTCTTGTTTGTTTATTTCCCCACAATACAACAGAAAAAAAAATTCTGCTGCCCCAACATCTATCCTAGTCAGCATATACGTAACCTTTCCTTCGGGATCACATGACACGAGAAGCTAGCCTGCATTTCCATCACAGCAGCATGGCTTAGCACACGATGCTATCCCTTCAACAGCTGCAGTGCACTATCCAAACACTTCCTGCTTAATAGGTCAGTCACAGTGCGGTGAAATATGCAGATCATTTTGTCGCGAGGCCGCCATTGTGCTTCAGATAACAGAAAACTGCTTCAGTGCGTGTCTTCCCCCCCCCCCGATGCTTCTCTCCACTGGAAATATAGATCTTTAATTTGAAGACGTTTGAGTTTTAAGGCACACGTGAAAGATGCATTAGATTAGACTCTTTGTGCTAATCTTATCAGAGGTGTTTGACACTGTGCCACGAACACACACTAAAATATAAACAGGACGCAGATATTTGATTTCACTCATCAGGTTAAATGGTCAATTCGCTCTCATTCACAACAATAATGAGTGCCCATTACCTGTTTGGCTGAATCGCTTTCACTTGTATTAGTGTGTGTGTTTCTGATGCATCGTTACCTGCATCTCATGATTTATTTTGCACCTGTTTGCATTGTGTGCCATTAAGTGTGTGTGTGTGTGTGTGTGTGTGTTCCATGTGTGCTTGCTCAAATGACAATCGTATGTCATTCTGTCATGTCTTGTCGTGTAAATGAGACAATGGGAGTATGTATGCGTTCAGAAGAATAGCAGCAAACAGTGTTGTTTTTATCTTTTTAAAATAAATTGTTGCCTTTTCCTGACGCCCTTCGTTTCTCTCCGTGTTGTCTTCGATGAGCCGTCTGTGCGTGTGGCTCGGCCTATGCATTCTGTCATACCTGTTTTTGTAAAACAAAAAGCCAATAAAAAGGAAAAAGTGCAAATATAAGAAAATGTGTCATTTCATTGTAATTTAGTGCTTCATATCAGTTTTTCAGTCTTGCTTAATCCTCAAATTAAACTTCTCAAATCAGTGAAATGTCTAACTCATTTTCTCACATTTAAGTGTGTTGCTCTTGCACTACAACAAAATGTCGTTAATCTTGTATATGATCCGCATTTAAGGAAATTCATTAGTTTATAGTTTGCTCAATGTGCAGTATTGCCGTTAAGATTCAGACAATATTATATAATATATTTATTGTGAGGAGTAGTTTATTTTTTTGCTGCTTATTTTTAAAACACTGTTTGAATTAGAACCTTTTTTTTGTAACTATCTTAATTTTCCGGTTTTTTGAAGGAAAAAAAACACAGACCGTATTGCAGATAAAAGTATACTTCTGGACAATGGTGGATTTTGCATACAATACATCAAAGTAATATACATAGATAGCACAACCCTCTATTTAAGCTAGAGGGAACAGATGACACAAATACAACAACAAAGACAAATCAAAATAAAACTTGAATTGGAACCTTTAAATTGTGTTACCATGGAAACACCAGTGCATCTTTCAAAGGTGACCCACGTGAAGACGTCCATCAACCCGGCACTAGTTATTTAGCGCGTTCACACCAGAGTAATTTTACCTGTACTTTTCCCGTTTAGTTCCGTTAGTGCCTGGAATTTTGCGTTCACACCCAAAAGAGTACTTAGTTCCGAGAACTTTTACTCCCATTTTTAGTGCCTGATATATCCCTTTCTTTCACACCAAGGCCTTTCCCATTCTAGCTCCGTGCTAGAGCTTTTCCGTCCTGCGTCATTGCGTCATCGTTTTGCGTCATGACGTAACCGTTTGCGTGCCTGCTTCATAAAGCCAAACCGCGCGGAAACAGCAGACATCTACAACAACAACAATGGCCGATTGTATTGAAGCAAGCGCTGCTCGTTTTGGTTTTGCTCTGTCGAAACGAAATGGAACGACTTTACTACCAACTTTACAGTCGTTACATGCTACATGCTACATTCAAGACTATTTTACAATCATCATCATCATCAACTTCAATGACGATTTGGTAGGAGAAAGAAGGTAAATATACGTCCTATTCAATGGCGTTAGAGCTAGCCGTTGTTAACCTCTGCATGCGCCTAGCTCAAAATACCCAGCTTTGCAGCATTCATTACTATGCTATAACCAGTGTTGGGTGTACAACAAACGCCTTACAAAAGTAACGGAGTTACAGTAATATATTACTTTTTTCTATAACCAAGTAATGTAGCGCATTACTAATGAAATATGGGTAATATACAGGGGTGCACATAACTTTTTTGCCCTGGTTCTCAAAGGAGCACCTGGAGATGTTGCTTGGTGCTCATCCTTAAAATGAAATGAACCGTAACTTTTGAGGGGTCTTTATTTATTTGCCAGACACACGGCACTGAACAGAACACACAGAGGTGAACACAGAACACACATGCAGAGGTGAACACAAGACAACATTATCACGACCAGTAATCCTACAAGCTGTCATCAATACCCTCCTGACTGTTCTCCTCACTGTCTTCCTCACTATCAGACATGGTAGCTGATGATGTAGGCCTACTACTTTCTCTCTGGTTGAGTCTGCGATTAGCTGCTGGTTTTGGGTTGAAAGTCTCTGTTGTCATATTAGACAAGTGGATGTAATCAAATAAGTATGTGAACATAACCAATAACCTACCATAGCCAATAACAAATGAATTTAACTTATTTAATTTTTGTTGTTCATTTATATCTTATTTTACCTATAGTTAACATTTATTTATTTATGCTTTTTTTTTTTTATCTCCAGTTTTAAAGGATATTTTTGGTTACTGTCCTATAGTATACATTGAAATGATTTAAAACCTGTGTTTATCCCAATAATTATAAAGGAGTGCCTTGGAAATATGTGTTTACATAAATTGTGACCAAACCGTTTGAACTTAGACTAAAGTGAACTATTTAAACACTCAAGAGTCCTTTACCTCACTGAGCTGTAGTTATCAGCCTCTCAGTCTTTTTTGGCGGAGGTGCGCATGCGCACCTGCGCACCAGTTATGTGCAGCCCTGTATATAGCTCAATATTTTGCTAAATACAAAATGTGTGTGTGTCAAATATGTAGGAGCCGGATCGTGATTAGCCTAGCTTAGCATAAATCAGGGTGAGTTTAGACACTTAGAGTAAGGTTGCCCTCAAGTTTTCATCCACAGTTGCCTTATGGTGCGTCATCGGACTACTACTCGCTACTCTCGCATGTTTGACCGCGGTTTTCAGTTGTGTTAACATGCTTCACTCAAACAAGATATGGTGGCGAGGAAGCGGGGCTTATCTCCATGTAGATAATACTGATACCAG